CAGCAAATTGTTCCTTGAGAGATTACAGAAGGCTGGTGCTGATCCTCTGGCAGTGTTTTCTGCCAAAGTTCTTAGTGTATTATGAACTTCTCACATCAGTTCACAATGCGTGTGTGATGACGCTGATATGATGGCATTAATGTATGATGGATCTCAGAAGTCAGGCATTTTTGTTAATGCAATGCTATACATGCCTTCTTGGAAGTAAGTCCTATTGGACTCAGTGGGTTGTACTTACAGGTAAGTCCATGTAGATTGCAACATGTTCCTCTTTTCTTTTTTGCATTTTTGCAAATTTTCTTTCAGTGAGCATAAACCTAGTTTGCCACTCAAAATACTTTCTCATAGTTTTTATTTTACATTATGCTTGGATGTTGCTTGTTTCCAAGAGATGGCTGCTCTGCAGTGACATTGCATGAATTTTGCTTTCTCAGCTATGTTTGAGTCTTAGAGAAATATTGTCCCTGTATGCTTTCAGGGTTGCATTTAAGCTATAGTGAAGTTAGAAAAATGACATAAAGCTTCTCCTCTTCCTGTGGGGGCCTCATTCTGTCACGACATTACAAGGTTGGATCTTGATTGAGGAAGATCTTTCTGTTTTATATACAAAGTCTACCTCTTGCTTTAATGTGCATTCTTATGTAAGCACAAATGTCAGCAATATCACTATAATTATCTATTTTTGTGCTATCTTTAGTTCTGATCCCACATTTGCTAATAAGAACACTTATTTAGTTCCAATAAATACTTTTGTTTATCATAGGGTCAAGAGTGTTCTGATCAGTAATAGCATGCAAAGGGACCTTACAGCTCCATAGAGAATAAGAGAACAAAGATGGTAACATAAGTTTGCATAGACTAAATCTACTTCCCTCCACGCATGGAGTACATCTGAGGAAATAGACTTAGTCTATGAAGGCTAATGCTACCAACTTTATTCTCTCCATTAGTCTCTAGGGCAGGGGTCCTCAAACTTTTTAAACCGGGGGCCAGTTTACTGTCCCTCAGACCGATGGAGGGCCGGACTATAGTTTTTTTTTAAAAAAAATCAATAAAAAATTCCTATGCACATTGCACATATCTTATTTTGCTGTGTGGAAGGGCCCTTAAAGGGGGTTCTTTCTAGCCCTCTTTAGGCAGTAATTCCAGGAGCAGAGAATGGGAAATCTTCCTATTTCTAGTCTGAACAAAATCTGGCTACCAGTATTAAAAACTCTAAAATTATAACTGTAAATAAAGAACAACACTCAAACACAGGGGAACTCCAGACAAGAAACAATCAGGGCCAGCTAATCACCTCTCAACAAAGGATTCTCCCTAAAAACTGTCAGGCTATGAAATGGCAATCAAGGTGGCCAATTGAAACATTCATACCTACCTCCAACAGACAAGAGTTCTTTCTCCCACCCTGGATCTTCCACAATTGTCCTGGTTAAAGGTTTTCCTCTGACATGAAGTCCAGTCATGTCTGGGTGGGGTGCTCATCTGCATTTCTAAGTCGAAGAGCCGGCGTTGTCCGTAGACACCTCCAAGGTCATGTGGCCAGCATGACTGCATGGAGCGCCAGGGCAGCCTCCCTTGGCTGGCTCACGCTGTCCATCGGGCCCGACGGATAGCGTGAGCCTGCCAAGGGAGGAGCAGGCCCGCACGGCTGCATGGAGCACCGGGGCAGCCTCCCTTGGCTGGCTCACGTTGCCCATCAGGCCCGATGGGCAGCGTGAGCCTGCCAAGGGAGGAGCAGCCCCGCGCAGCCTACTTGCGAGTAAAGCACCTTTGTGAGGTGCTTTACGCGTGAGTAGGCCACGCGGAGCAGCTGCCCTTGGCTGGCTCACGCTGCCCATCGGGCCCGATGGGCAGCGTGAGCCAGCCAAGGGAGGGGCACTGTGTGTGGGGGGTGCTCCTCCTCCGCGGGCCGGATAAGTGCCCTTGGCGGGCCGGAAGTGGCCCGCGGGCCGTAGTTTGGGGACCCCTGCTCTAGGGTGTATACTAGTATTACAGACTAATATGGCGTGTATTTGAATACTAATCAAAGACATAAAAGCTTAAGTTTGAAATCTTTTCACCTCTAAATTTCTACTTGTCATAAGTGAATAGATTTCAAGCTTATGCTCATGCTTGAAATCAAATCAGCATTTATTTCCGTTTTTAAACAAACACCCATGCCATATAACATGTGAATATCTTTCTTCTAACTTTTGACTCACTGATTCTTCATTGTGTGTTCAAAGAACCTCTATTGCTCTTTGTTATCATCCTCATGACTGTTGTTCATCACTGAATCATTGGATTGCTGTATGAGGAATATATTGTTTTGTTAAATGTTTTTCTGCATAATATCTGATCTTTGGCATCAGTTTCCTAGAACTCTATTTTCTGATTCCACTGTCTATAAATGGATGTTATGTCACTTGAAATTATTTGTTTTTCAACTAACATGGAACTAATTAATGAATTATTTTGCAATTCTCCTAGAACATTTGTGCTGCAGTTAAGTATATACTAGAAGGGTATTTCTGACAGAGTACCATTATCTGTATCTGTATCTATTTTGACTTTCCTCTTGAATAATTTTCTATAAAATGAGCTGTTAGGAAAGAAGTAAGAATGAAATTGAAAAATCAGAAGAATGAACGATGGTAGGTAGCTATATGCACTGGATGTCTCAGCTTTGCTATGCAGCTTGCAAACAATAAAAAGGTAAAGGTTTCCACTTGACATTAAGTCTAGTCATCACCGACTCTGTGGGGTGGTGCTCATTTCCATTTTTAAGCCAAAAAGCTAGCATTGTCCGTAGACGCCTCCAAGGTCATGTGGCTGGCATGACTACATGGAGCGCTGTTACCTTCCCACAGAAGCGGTATCTCTTGATCTACTCACATTTGCATTTTTTCGAACTTCTAGGTTGGCAGAAACTGAGGCTAACAGCAGGAGCTTACCCCACTCTCTGGATTCAAACCGCTGATCGTTCGGTCAGCAAGTTCAGCAGCTCAGTGGTTTAGCGTGCTGCACCACCGGAGGCTCCTGCAAACAATACACATGTCCTATAATGTGACTTGCTTTCTTCATTGCTCTAAAATGTATATAAGGCCTATGTGAAGTCAATGAGCTTGTCTGACCAGTTCTCAGACTGCTTAGCCTAAGTGTGGTTTGACCCTTTTGGTCAAAGGGCAATGTGTGTGGGTTTTCTCTCTCTCTCTCTCTCTCTCTCTCTCTCTCATCAGATTCAGTTTCTTTTACAGCTCTGTGCCTATTTGTGGTTCTGGATAGGGCAGAAATTGTAGCTTAGTATTGATTGGATTGTTTTGAACTTCCTTCTTCCGAAACCAATGCCTTACCCAGTACGCTACGGTAGAAGATATGAAAAGTATTGTGCGGGATTGTGCCATTTCATCTTTCAGTTCGGGCCTTTTTGCATTGCAGTTTCTATGGCAATGTGGCAAGTGGCAGCCTGGTTGCTCTCAAGGGCCTGCCTAGTTTAGCTTCCCTCTCATGTAGTTCTCCATGCCGTCCTCAGTCAGAGCTCTGGTGTCGGCAACAAAATTCCTCCAAAAAATATTCACTTTGTTGTTGTGGGTTTTACGGGCGGTATGGCCATGTTCCAGAAGCATTTGCTTCATTGTAGCTGCTCATTTAACAGCATGTTTTACATTCTCCAGTTTCTTGTTGGAACTCTTTAAACAAGTGTTACCAGTTTTTCTTTTTCATTCCACTAATCCAGTTATTACATATGTTTCTGAGTCGTTTGGACTGGGCATTTCTGAACCTGAGCCTAGGATTAAACAATGTTTAATGACAAGATTTAGCACTCATATATGACCAAGAAGTGATATTTTGGCTATGAGACTTCATCATGAGATGTCCTACATTGAGCTGCTTTCTAATGGCTGGATCAGTTCCCATCTTAGTTTCAGAACCATAATTCAACTAAATGCAACTTTTCAGGAAAGGAGGACACTTTATCTTTTTTTTAAAGCTATTAATTTAATTGAACGTTTGGATTTGAAATGAGTCATCATCAGACATCTGTGCATTGCAGCCCAAGAGATTGCTTCAAGCTGGAGTGTAGTTACTACTACAGGAAGGGTTTTCCATTAATCTGCCCAAAATGTCTTCTCAATTAGAGATCAAATTGAGTGTAGCAAAAGAGACTTTGGCTGTTGTCCTATCCCTGGGAAAACATTCGTGTCAGTGAAATGAGGCTTGGAATGAGAATTCCTAGTTTCTGCTCTGAGGCCCTTTTACACTACAAAGTTATACGATATGCTCTACTTGAACTGCCCCGGCTTCATCCTGGGGAACCCTGGGGTTTACAGTTTGGGTAAGCAATGGAATTGCAATGAATTAGGACAGAGAACTTTATTTTCCAAATGGAGAAAGCTACATTTTAGTCTTACGTTTTTTGTAATTTTATGCAAGTTAGTGCTCCATGTGTGTGTTTTTGTGTTCACAAATCACTGTCAATTAATGATGACCCCATGGAATTCATAGGGTTTTTTAGACAAGGAATACTCAGAACACTTAGCCAGTTCCTTCCCCTGAAATATAGCCTATGTAATTTGTTCCCAATCACTCATCCTTATATTAATCAGGACTGGCCCTCTAAGCTTACAAATGAGTCAGAAGCTGGTGCTTTTAAGATATTTGGGTCCTATAGTTCTCCAGTCACTGTGTGGTTTTTTTTATTCTAAAATTCAAAGAAATCCCCACCTTGTTGGTCAATGTATTTTGTTATCATATATGTTGTGTCCTTGATTTGTTGCTTCATTTTCTTTTGAGTGAGACAACACCATCTTGGGCTGCCAGTGATCCTTAATCAGGGCAGGGCATATGAAACTCAGGGGGTGCATGAATCTCACCCCACCACCACCACCACCCCTTCCCTATCTGAACAGTAAAGATAGCCTTGCTGGGATTGGAAATGGGAGAATCAGAATATTGACATGCTTTTCTGCAGTAGAAGATACTTCTGTGCTAATTTGGAGCGTTCCTTCTCCTTTCAGAGATACTGAATGATGTAATACGCAGCATGAAGAAGGAAGGAGAATGGAAGGTAAGAAGCATGGCTCTGAGTGGTGGGGTGAGTTGCATGTCATGAACACATTTAATATAATCTGCAAAGTTGTTGGATTTCTCAACCTTCCCATAAAAGTACCTGCATCTCTAATGTCATTGTTTATTACTCATTCTTGTGATCTTTATCCTTAACATGTCTCTTTCTCTGGTATAGCAAGGGTGTACTTGTTAGAGGGAAGAGTATTTTGGTGGGGTGGGGGGGTCTTCTGCACTCCTACAGCTTTCCATAACTTGAGACACAAGAGGGTGCCTACCAACTCATCCATGAAATTACTGGCTGCAAACAGATCAACACGAATGTTCCCATTTGCTTTGCTCCATTGGTTTGAAAAGGGCTTATATAATAATACTGGCTTCTATGTCTTTCTAATTATTCCTCCAATGTGTTTGATAACTCTGGAAAAAGTGAATGACATAAAATTTGTGAAGATGGAAGAACATCTAGTTTAATATTTTAGAATGCAGAAAAAGTGGATTGGAACAAAAGTGAACATGGTGATTTTTTTTCAAACTGCTTTTTAGTGGTGTGACCATTAAAAAAACTCTCAACAAACAAAAATGCCCTTCTTGCAAAGTTGCCATTGTTATTATTTCTGTAGTTGTTGTTGATGTTATTAATGGCAGCAACAGTGCTTACTATTACCGTATATTCTGGTGTATAAGACTACTTTTTAACCCAAGAAAATCTTCTCAAAACTCAGGGGTCGTCTTATACACTGGAGTAGTCTTATGCACGGGAGTAGTCTTATACGCGGGAGTAGTCTTATAGACAGGACTCATCTTATACCCAGGAGTCGTCTTATGCACGGGAGTAGTCTTATGCACGGGAGTAGTCTTATAGAGCGGGTGGTGAAACTTCCAATTGGATTGGAAAATCTGTGGTTACCCCATATGGTGGGGGGAGCTCAAAAATGGCAATGGCTGTGTCCCTGCTGTATGCAGCGACTGTATGAAAGCATTAAGGGCGACACTGCACAAGTACGGTAGAAGAAAATCAATTCATCAGGATTTGTGGACTTAATGCGGTCCCGGTGGTGAGGTAAAGGGGCGCCTCATCAGGAAGGTGTAAGTGAAGGGCGGAGCAAGCTGCAGGCATCCGGGGCGCCTGGGGTATGGAAAAAAGAGTGGCTCTGGGCCCAGACAAACACACCTCTTTTACCTGTCTGGCCCGCCTATGTATCCTATTACCGTACCTCCTCCTCTGCCTCTCAGATCTCGCTCCTGAAGACTGCAGTGAAGTGGTGCAGGTGCGCATGTGCGAGATCTGAGAGGCAGAGAAGGAGGTACAGTAATAGGAAAATTACCAGATTGAAATCAAATCTGATGCTTTAAAAAAAAACATTTGGTGTGTGTTGGAAGAGGGGTAGTCTTATATGGCGAATATATCCCAAACTCTATATTTTAACTGGAAAATTTGGGGGTTGTCTTATATGTCCGGTCGTCTTATATGCTGGAATATACGCTACATTTATATCCTGCCTTTTCTCCAGTGTGTTTAAAACAGTGTACATGGTTGCATTTCTCCTCAATTTATGCTCAGAACAATAGTCTGTGAGTTCGAAAAGGTGAGGGACAGTCTTGGCCCAAGGTCATCCGAGGGGTTCATTGCTTCAGTGGGGATCTGAATCTGGTTCTCCAGAGACCTAAAGCAACACTTTAGCCACTACGCTCCTCTGACTCCTTTCTTGCTCATCATTCTGTCTCCATCCCTACAGGTCCTTGTTATGGATCATACCAGCACACGTATTCTGTCGTCCTGCTTTAAGATGTCAGATCTCCTGGCTGAAGGAATCACAAGTGAGTCATTCGAGCAAGATGCTCTTGTGTTCTGCTTAATCTTGGGAGCTGGGATTCAATCACAGTAGGAGAGCCTTCCCTCCACCCTATGCTACTAATTGTTCCATTCTATTCCTATGGATTTAGTAGTCCAGCTAGATGCCCAGGTTTCACACTGCCCTACTTTGGTTTATACATCTCTTTAGTCTCACCTATTTTTCTCCTTCCAACTATCCAAACAAAGTCCGGGAAATTGCTCTGCCCTGTTCTTTCCTTGTTCTTCCCACCCCAAATTTAGACATTTGACATTCATTTCTTTTCTTCAGTTATTGAAGACATTAACAAGCGTCGAGAACCCCTCCCCAGCCTAGAAGCCATCTATTTGATCAGTCCCATTGAGACGGTAAGTCCTTAATCAAATAGTAGCTCCCATAAAACTGGTTGCCTCCATAGAATTTCTGAAACCCCCGGCCTCCAGAGCTGTTCTTTTCACAGTTCAATATGATTGTTTCTGAGTGAAGCTAATTGCAAATGTTTAGGTAATGGGAAAAAAACTATAAAGAATTCTCTGTCAACATCAAGACTAACACATTTATCATACCATGAAGCTTTGTGGACTATGAGCCATTTTATTAGATACTAGCTGTACCCAGCCACGTGTTGCTGTGGCCCTCAGAAAACAGAGGAATTCCAGACATGAAACAATAGATGGAACAGATGGAAGAGACATTGATAGATGGAACAGAAGATAGATGGATAGAACATAGATAAATAGATAGATGTATTGATAGATGGATGGTTAGACACACACACACACCCCTTTACGCCCAAAGGGGGTTGGACTGGATGGCCTTTGGGGCTCCCTTCCAACTGGTTGGCCATCAGTTGGGAGGGCTTTGATGGTGTCTTCCTTTACTGCAAAATGAGGTTGGATAGGATGGCCTATGGGGCCCATTCCTATACCCAAACATTTCCCGTGCCCGTCCTTCCCTGCACGGCATCAAAGGGCCTCTTCCCTGGTGTGGATGGCCTTTGGGGCTCTCTTCCAACTGGATGTCCATCAGTCGGGAGGGCTTTGATGGTGTCTTTCTTTACTGCAAAATGAGGTTGGACTGGATCGCCTATGGAGCCCTTCCAATACCCCAAAGTGTTTCCTGCACCCATCCTTCCCTGCACGGCATCAAAGGGCCACTGTCCTGGTGATCCCCCTCCATCCCCATCCTCCCTTCATGGTCTCCCTCCCTCTCCTCCGCATCAGTGTCCTCTTTACCTTCTTGGGCTCCACGCCACCCGAGAGCCTCAACTGCAGCTTCCCCACAACTTCAACCATTGACTCCGCCATTTTGACTGCTGGCGAGGCCTCTTTCACAACAGAAGTGGGCCCGCAGCTTCAACGCCTCTACCCAAACAGCCCTTGCAGCTCCAAAGCCCTCCTGAGAGATGGCCATCCAGTTGGAAGAGAGGCCCAAAGGCTATCCAATCCAACCTCCTTTGGCCGTAAAGGAAGACACTGTCTAAATCCTCCCAACAGATGGCTATCCTGTTGGAAAGGAGCCCTAAAGGCCATCCAGTCCAACCTCCTTTTGCCGTAAAGCAAGACAACATCAAAGCCCTCCCGACTGATGGACATCCAGTTGGAAGAGAGCCCCAAAGGCCATCCACACCAGGGAAGAGGCCCTTTGATGCCGTGCAGGGAAGGACGGGCACGGGAAATGCTTTGGGTATTGCCTCCTGGAAAAAGAGGGGCTTCTTGAGAGAGGTGGGGCGACTGTTTGGTTTGTTTTCCTTCGTGCAGGAGGGGAGCAAGGCCAGGGGAGTCATTTTCGTGCATGTGCTGTATCATGTTATAGCATTTTTGGGTTCTTAAGTCCCTTTCTCTGTGTTTTGTGTGTGTGCATGCGTGTGCGTTTTGTGAGTGATGACCACTCGTTGGCTTGATAGGTGTATTGTGTCCAAATTTCGTGTCAATTCGTCCAGTGGTTTTGGAGTTATGAGGTCCCCACAAACAAACATTACATTTTTATTTATATAGATGTAAAATACCTTCCATAATTTCAGGTGCATTTCTTGCTGAGGGTGGAATTGAAGCAGAGGAAATTAAAAGCAGAAATGACTGACAGAAACAATTACATTATTAACATGAACGTTTGCCAAGTTGTTGTTAATAACACAAACATTTTGACTTTAAGGCAAACCAATTAACATGTAGTGTGGTAAGAATTTGTTAATTCCGCTTCAAACCTCTAGTGACAGACTGGCTTTTCCTAACAAATCATAACAATGGTTGCTACTGAGATAGTGATAACTATCTAGTGGCAGAGAGTTATATATGTAGATAGCTGCTGTTAACAATGTGTTTTCACTTTACAGTCTGTGCATGCTCTGATAAACGACTTCAAAAGCACCCCAACTTTTGCATACAAGGCTGCCCATGTCTTCTTCACTGACAGTAAGTTCATGGATGGCTCCTGTGCAAACAGAGCATAAAGTAAGAGAAGGCAGTCATGGCATGTAGATTCACTCTTTAGTCCCACTGAGACAAAGTGAGTACTCTGGGTGCTCTCTGTTATGGAGGTAGATGCTTATCCAACTGAAAGCTCATCTTGCTATCAATCCTGCCTACAGGTATTTGGCTATGGATAAAAGCACATCATTGATTGCAATATATAAAGAGGTTGACCCTGAGATGCAAGTAAATCTTAAAAGACACCAAAGTCCATTCTCGGGCCTTCTGTTGTGGTTTCTGCTTAAAAAGCAGCCAGCTTCATTACTCAGACTTTCTCAGCATCAACTTTTTGAGCTTCATGGGGTTGCTTGGAGATTAAAGCAGACAGGGGAAACGTAAAAGAAAAATCTAACCATGAGCACTCAGTATGACTTTCAGTTCTGGGACAGCATGTAAAACTGATTTCCCTTTGTTTTCCTTCTTGTAGTTGTCAGAATGAACTGTAATAAACGTTGCCTAATTGGGTGGTTGAACAAGAGGTGTGTGTCCTGTGTTGGGAGGAGGAAATGAAGTAATTCATGTTCTCTCCTTGACTTCCAGCCTGTCCTGAAAATCTTTTTAATGAGCTCAGCAAGTCCAAAATCACCAAAGCTATCAAAACTCTCAAGGAAATCAATGTTGCTTTTCTTCCATATGAATCACAGGTGAGGAGAAGGTAACACAGTCTGTAGGTGTCTGGCCATCATAGCACAAATGTGCATGGGGAGGGTATCACCATTCCTACACACATGCAGAACAGCTGTCCACCACGGCAGAGTTATTGTGGGTGTGGGTGGGGGTGGGGGAACCACAGAATCTTTCTGTTCTAGCTCTCTGTATGGTTTCAGAAGAAGGCCCGTGCACATTTTGTAGATGGTTGCAGGAATTCTCTTTGTTTGTTTACTACATTTATATCCCGCCCTTCTCATCCCGAAGGTGACTTGTTGGCTTGTGTGTAGTGGGAGATGTATCTTCCACAACAGATGTTGTTACAGCATAATGTTCTTTTATGGTAGATATTTTTTGTATAACTATAAACCTTTGAGATTAATGGATTATTTTAAAATCAGAAGACAGATTACCTATAATAATTTAAAATCAAAAGACAGCATTTATATATGCGACTAAATTCACACTCTCACTATAAGAATATTAGTTTGGCTACCAGGCAATTTCAGAACGGTAGCAAAGTATCTTTGCATACTCTGAGAAATTCAGCCATTCTGCGGATTAACAAGAAGGTTTTGCTTTGAGTTATTCTGTCAAACTGTTTATATATATAATGGCAGAAATGCAGGGATCTAGCCATCACAAGAGATAATGTTGCCAAGGGGCCCTGTACTCCTCTAAACAGCAAAGAATCCTTGTTATCAGAGGAAAATAGATAAACCTCCAAGGTAAAGGTAAAGATTTCCCCTGACATTATGTCTAGTCGTGTGACTCTGGGAGCCCCTAATAAACTTCTAGCCATCTCAAAAAGGGAAAGTGGGTGCTAATAGTCTTCCTCATTTCACCCCCAAATGAACACAGAAATAGTAATTGAACAAGCACTAAAACATGCTGATTTGAGGCCTCCACTAAAATGGTCTTTAACCTTCTTAGGCTTTAATACAGTGTTCTTAACACTTGGTAATGTAGGTAGGTTAATCTGCCTTGTGCAAGATAGTTTCCATACAGGTAATGATTGTTAGCCCCAAAGAACCTGCCGCTGTGATACTCAGCAAATGTTTCCTCAGTTGTAGGATTAGCCACAGTATACAACAGGCAAATTATCAGCTTCTGTGATTCAAAAAAACGACAGCCATATATGCCTTTGAAGTGTTGCTTTAGCTTCTTATGATGTCATTGATAGTTTAATGTTATTGTTGTTTTTATATTAAGTTTTCATATTTTTGTGAGTCATTAAATTTTGTTGTGAATATGTTGGGACCCCCCCCCCCCCCCCCCGGTGACAAAACTGGTATACAAATGAAGTAAAGAAATAAATAAATTCTTCCCCAGAGTAAATGATGTAACATCCAAAATGAGGAGGAGGCTATTTTCAGGTTGGCAAGGCCACTCTGTCAGGTGTGCCCTGGCTGACATCCAATGGAGAGGTGGTTGCTATAGAGTCAGTTGCTTGAAGAAAACCTTCTTTAGAAGAGTGCCATTGGTGTGTGATTGTATTGGTTATTTAAGCAACAGGCCCCTTTGTGATTTCTTGACACCTTGCAATCAAAGAGCAAAGTGTTATGTGAATTCAACTTGTGTTCCTCCTATACCATCAGCATACCATTATTCTTGTTCACCCCCATTTTCTAGGTGTATACCCTGGATCACCCCCAAAGTTTCCATCATCTCTTCAGTCCATACTGCAGGGAAGATAAGAACAAACACTTAGAGCGGATGGCGGAGCAGATTGCTACCTTGTGTGACACCTTGAAGGAGTACCCCTCAATTCGCTACAGGAAGTGCGTACAATGCTCCTGCTATACACAGCGGTGGAAAAGGGGGGGCTTGTAATATGTTTTAGGGTGAATCACAGCAAAACAAGCCATATACTGAAGGGCTATACAGTTAGAGTCTCACTTATCCATCCTTTGCTCATCCAACATTCTGTATTATCCAACGAAGTCTGCCTCCCGCCCAGACTAAAGTCCAGGAGGGGAGACAGAAAGAACCCTTGTCTGTTTTGGTGCTAAATTTGTAAATACAGTAATTACTACATAACATTGCTGTGTATTGAACTGCTTTTGCTGTTGTAAAACATGACATTTTGGGGCTTAATTTGTAAAATCATAACGTAATTTGACATTTAATAGGCTTTTCCTTATTCCCTCCTTATTATCCAACATTTTTGCTTATCCAATGTTCTGCCAGCCTGTTTATGTTGGATAAACAAGACTTTACTGTATTTTGAGATAATTAAAAGATATTACTATATCACTATGGGTTCAAGAAGTGACCTGTTACACTTATTCTAATATAGGAATTAATGTGGTCACTTAGGTAGGAAGGAGGTTTGCCATCAAGGGTCCACTGTTGGATGGGTGCTTATTTCTGAATGAGAAAGTAGATCCTTGCCTTGGCCAGTCTCCCGTTGAACCCAATATGCAAAATTCAGAAATGGTGCTGCTGAATGGTTTTATGTTTCTTTGTCACAGTGGCTCTGAAGACTGCGTCCTGCTGGCTCATGCTGTGTTAGCAAAACTGAATGCTTTCAAAGCCGACAACCCCACTATGGGAGAGGTGAGCAACCCCAGAGATTTGCCAGGTCTGGTACATTGGACCATTGGGAGAATACTGCACTTGGCAAGGCAGCTCTGATGCTGCTGTCTCAGAAACCCCCTTCTGCAGATGTTTCACAAGCTAAGCATGAATGTGATGGCTGTATGAGAGATATGGGGAAACTCCTTCAGAATGCAGAAGAAGAATGTGAAGGGAACCTTCTTCAAGTTCACAAAGTCAAAAAGCATCTCTGTGTATTGGCCAAGTTGGGTCAGAGCAGAAATAACTGCCTTCCAGATAAATGGTAAAATGTACATGGTAAGAATTGGGTAAGAGGCTTGATCACATCTGTTGTCTCAGCTCAAGAAGAGCTTTTCAAAAGGCTTTTTTAAAGTCCTTTCCAAAAATGACCTTTGATAACTGCCTTATTCCATTTTATCTGGATGGTGACATGTCCCTCTGAATACCAACCAGAACTGTTACATGTTTCATCAACAAATACACTGTATTTTCCCAACTCGTCACCTGCTTTTAACTACATCCTATTCCCAAGCATCAGACGTGGTATCTGAGGCTACTGGGAGTTATAAATCAAAACATCTGGCAGACAACAGACTGAGGACAACTTTCCATCCATGTTGCTCAGAATTATTTTGCGTCTGCAACGTACCTCCTCGAGTCACTCAAAAAATGAAAAAAGTCTCCTATTTTCATAGGACAGCGCATGTGTTTTTGCATGTTGGCCGTGCCACCTGTTGGCTGAAGGATACATTGCACTGTGATCTTGTATGACTGAGGAGGTGCATTATAGTTGTTCTCATTCTAACCAGCTTTGAAATTGCTGGAAAATGAGGCTTAATGCTGTGATTTCAAAGCTTTGTTCGCTGTGATGTTAGGAGCAGTCGTTTCCTCCACTTCCCAGCTACTGTTTTTATGCTCATAGAGCTAGAGCATTACTTTTTAAAAAGTTATCTTTGTTATTATTGTTAAATCACTGGTGTTAACACTTTAATTACTTGAAGAATGGTGAATTAGCAATTAATTCAGCTACTGTTTTTATGCTCATAGAGCTAGAGCATTACTTTTTAAAAAGTTATCTTTGTTATTATTGTTAAATCACTGGTGTTAACACTTTAATTACTTGAAGAATGGTGAATTAGCAATTAATTACAAATACTTTTTTTTAAATGCAAAAATAGTTTTTGAAATCCTCCAAAATAGACCCCCAGCTTTTTAGGAGTGGCAAGAAAACCATCTTTTAAATAACAATTAACAAAATTACTTTCTTTTTTGAGAAATTTATTTATTTATTTATTTATTTCCGTCACTTTTACCCCGCCCTTCTCACCCCCAAGGGGGGACTCAGGGCGGCTTACAGAGGAAGGCATAATTCGATGCCTTTGTCACATATACATACATATATAAAAGCAATTAAACAGTTACAAATTAAAAATTAAAATCATCAATACAAAACAATACAATAAACACAGTAGTAGGCTAACACAGTAGTAGGCTAATCCTGAGCTCAGCGTTCAGAGTTCCGTAAATCCATTCCGTCTCGTCAAATTCCAGCTCGTCATCAGGTCTTTCTTTAGCTGCCAGAATGTCCAAATGCCTGGTCCCACATCCAGGTTTTCAACTTTTTCCTAAATGAAAGAAGGGACGTTGCCGATCTAATCTCCCCGGGGAGTGAATTCCACAGGCGGGGGGCCACCACCGAGAAGGCCCTGCTCCTCGTCCCCGCCAATCTCACTTGTGATAGAGGCGGGGTCGAGAGCAGGACCTCCCCAGAAGATCTTAGGTTACGAGGTGGGACGTAGAGGGAGATCCGTTCGGACAGATACACTGGGCCGGATAACATTGTTATGCCCTTGTTGCCTGCAAGAAACATGTGTTACGTGCCACATCACTACTTTTCAGATGGAACAGCTGTTTGCGCTTTCCTGTGCCAGACCCCTTCACTTCCTGTTGTATTTATTACCATCATCAAAACAGCATAAGTTTGAGATGTTGAGATACCTCTCCTTGGTTTCATCTAAGCCTGCTGCTTAGCCGATCTTCTAAAGCACCCAAGGCATCACAGAAATTGTTCACTGGTCTGTGTCCCACCACAAAGTGTGTTTTTTCCTCTGCAGTTTGCATGGCCTTACATTTTTGAGTTACTGAGTCATCTCAGTTAATAGGATTGTGTGCCGTCAATTGAGAAAGGATTTTGTGCATTTGAATAATTACATTGCTGGCCCTGCCTCCAACCATGAGATACTAAGAGGTTGCATGCGTCTAGTAGCTTAGGGATGGGCAGGAGAAGCAAAGTGCAAGAAATGCTGCCCTTCCTACACATTGTTTTGCACCTACAATAGTGCCAGTGTTGAATTGTTTACAGAGCATCTCTTTTCCTGTCAATAAAGAAGATCAGTCTCAAGAAGTCTGTGAGATTTACCGTGAGAACAATGTGTCAAGGATTTCAATCTCAATATAGTTTTCCAAAGGATTTCTTTAGTTTTCAGACAGCATGCTGTAGATTGCACTCACATGATGCCTAATTATTGTTTTGCATGGGGAAGTGGCAATGCAGTCAAGGCACAGAATTCACAAAACCAAGGAACTAGCTAATGTTTCCCTTTTCCTTGCCTTCCTTCTTTTGCTTCTGTCAGGGCCCTGACAAATCTCGCTCACAGCTTCTGATTGTCGACCGGAGCTATGACCTTGTGTCCCCACTTCTGCATGAGCTCACTTTCCAAGCCATGGCCTATGACTTGCTCAACATTGAGAATGACACTTATCGGTGAGGGCCACATGTGTGTACATGCATGTATGAGGGCACCAAGAAAGAAAGGTTGGGGGGGGGGGAGTTGCCTCCCTACAGAGATGTCAGGCCTGTCTGTCTAACAAAGCTTCTTCCCTGGTCTCTTGCAGGTATGAATCCACAGGCATCAGTGACTCAAGAGAAAAAGTGGTACTCTTGGATGAGGATGATGACCTGTGGCTGCAACTCCGCCACATGCACATTGCTGACGTTTCCAAGTGAGAGCCTATCCTTGTCTGTAGATGCATACACATAAGTACACTTCTCCCACCATTGTACACTTAAGTACACATAAGTACACTTCTCCCACCATTGTATCTGGCTCATTCTGAAGTGTATGGGTGAGGCATTTTGGTAGCTTTACTCTCATTTCTCAAATTAGCTTTGCTTGCCACATCGATCTATAGTTTTTTGCCTGGAGAGTCTGAATGTGAATTCCTTCCACAGGAAAGTGACAGAGCTGCTGCGTACCTTCTGTGAGAGCAAGAGACTTACCACTGACAAGGTGAGAGTTTTCAGCCTATTTGATAGACACTCATCCTTTCGTGATCCATTGTCCCTCTTGAGAGTTCAGGCTTAGATAGGGGTCCCAGTCAGTGTCCCATGCTACCAGACTTGCTCAACTTAAAGAGTGATATTATCTTGGCCTCTTTTGGACCTTTCTAGAGCAACATCTCTGTGTAGTCACAGCAGAGATACTGGTGGAACCTATCCGAGTGAACCAGATTGGGAGTGGCGAGTTAGAAAGAAGAGCTAATGCTAGAATGAGGAGCAGGCAGGCATAGAGTTTAAGATAAGAAGAATAGGCAAAGAGTTACAACTTCTGATGCTCCCGTTCTTTATGACTTTACCTTCTGAATGAAGTTCTTCTACATAGTGAACTCTCCATTCCCTTCCTAGGCCAACATTAAGGACCTGTCTCAGATCCTGAAGAAAATGCCCCAGTACCAGAAGGAACTTCACAAGGTAAAGGGTGCAAGGAATCAGGACTGGCACCTGTGTTGCTGTTCATGTGTTTAAAAAACGGATACCTACACATTCTCCACAGTTTATGTAGGCCTTGGGGGAGCCATAATTTCACTAGAAAAGACTTTTTTTTTCCAGTAATCCAAGCAAGTGGTGAACTCTCGTAGGCTCACTATGTTTTCAGGGGTTGGAATTACTGCCCTGGAAAAGGAGAGTGCTCCAAAATAATCACAGGGGCAAATGTGCTCAATTTGCACAATTTGAACTAATAGCGAATTTTAATTCATTATTGCAAAATATCTCCTGAACCACACCTCTGAGCCTTCAGTGAACTCTCCTGTTCCTGAATTGGCTTCTTGCCCCTTTTGTGGCAATGAGAACACAGATTGAGGTGTAAATATCTTCATCTTGCAGTATTCTACGCATCTACACCTGGCAGAGGACTGTATGAATAGCTTCAAGGGCACAGTGGAGAGGCTATGCAACGTGGAGCAGGTGAGCACACAGAAAGTACACGGGGAAATGGGAAAAGTGGAATGACTGTGAGTTCTAGCTATAAAAGTAAAAGTTTCCCTGACATTAAGTCTAGTCATGTCCGATTCTGGGAGGTGGTGCTCATCTCCATTTCTAAGCCAAAGAGCCAGTGTTGCCCGTATACGCCTCCACGGTCATGTGTTTGGCATGACTGCACAGAGCACCGTTACCTTCCCACAGAAGCGGCACCTATAGATCTACTCACATTTATATGTTTTCAAACTGCTCAGTTGGCAGAAGCTGGGGCTAACAGTGGGAGCTCACCCCACTCCTGGGATTTGAACCACTGACCTTTTGGTCAGTAAGTTCAGTAGCTCAGTGCTTTAACCTGTGCCACCAGGGGCTAGGCTTAGCTATACTTGGATGTTATATAAAAAGATTTAAGTGGGTCTGTAAACTTGAATTTTAAAAAATCAACTATTTTTATTTTCTCCGACCTATGACTGAAATATAGGGGTGTCTATCTTCCGCTACATTATAAGAAGGGGTCTGTGATTTTCACCTGAGTGGCAGAGGGGTCCATGGGCTAAAAAGGGTTAAGAGACCCTCTGTAGTGGGTGATTCTTCTATTTGTTTTTCTTGGAAAATGTGCCAGTGAGGACAACCAAACAAAACAACATTTCTGGTTCTTTTCCCCCCACTGTCCAGGACCTAGCTACAGGTTCAGATGTTGAAGGGGAGAAAGTTAAAAATGCAATGAAGACGATTGTGCCAATTGTCCTGGATGCCAGCGTGACGGCGTTAGATAAGATTCGCATTATCCTGCTTTGCATCTTCCTCCAGAATGGTACATCCTTCCTTGTACCTTCACCAGCCTTGGGGGCTATAGAGAGAGTCCACTCCAAGAAGGAAAGGATTCCTCCCACTGTCTTCTCAACCCCTGATCCCCAAACTTCCCTTCATCTCCCTGCTTTTCCCCAAAGTTACAACCTGCTTCAAATCTCCCTCTTGAACTGAGAAAAAACAAGTCTTGCTTGTCTTGAACTCATTAGACTAGTCTGTTTTTCCTACGATTCCTGTGAGACTGTCTTTCCTTCTTTTTAAGCAAATTCTGTGATGTCTTGTATAGCTGGATGGCTTGACATGGACAGCTATTTAGGGTGGGTGGTTCACAGACTTGACACCACATATAACGTAGTTAATGAGTGGCGTTTTCATCTGTGTTCTCCTCCCCATATAGGCATCAATGAAGAGAACCTAACCAAGCTCATCCAACATGCCAATGTTCAGCCGGAGAAAGACATCCTTTACAACATGAACTGTCTGGGTGCCACCATCATGCCAGAGGTATGCTTTCCTGCTCATGCCTTGCCCCACCTGCTGTGCAAGTAGCTTGTGCCAGGGATGCATCAAACTACCCATTTACCCAGTTTGGTGGGGTGTGGATCTCTCTTCCTCTGTCTCTCTCTGGATTCTTTTCTCTCACATATTTTTTGCTCTTTTCTTTTCTGCCTGCTTCTTGCTCTATCTCTGGTCAGAACATCTGGAGCCAGTTGGGTAAGCCACTCTATCTCATTGCAAACTTTTGATATCCCCGAACCTTTAACCTTTCTCTTCCCCTTCCCACAACACAACATCCATCCAGGATTATAGTCTTGTCTCTCTCACACCTCCTCCTTTTGTTAACGTGCAGGATGCTGGTGGACACATGAAGCCTGTAAGGAAAGTGCGGCTGGAGCCCACCTACCAGCTCTCCCGATGGATCCCCATTCTTAAGGATGTAATGGAGGTATACAGAAAAAGGTTCAGGGGAAGGGGATCTGGGGGGGGGGGGGGAAGGTTATGCTTTAAGTGGTTTAGTGCAAAAAAGAGTGCTGTCCACAGTGAGATTGGGAATTGACAGAAACAACTGGGCATTGATGTCTTTCACCATTGGAAGTGATTTCTTGATCTTGGTTGGATTCTCTAGCATGCATCCAAATGTGTAGAGTGCAGCCTGAAAAAGAGACAGGAACAATCCACCAGTTGTGTGGGTGGCATCCCATACTGTCCCTTTAAAATGGCAGTGGACTGATTGGTGCACCAGAGCATTCTGCTTATGTCTTTTATAGTGTTCAGATACACTGAGCTGGATATCCCTGATCCATTAAAGTGCACAGAAATGTTGAAATCATCCGTACTCTTTGATGATATGTGATCACCTCTAACAGAGTGTAAGAAGCTGCCATGTATAAGATCTGTTCAACAGTAAACGCTGTTCAGCAGTGCCTCGGCGTGTGGTGGAGGCTCCTTTTTTGGAGGCTTTTATGCAGAGGCTGGATGGCCATCTGTCAGAGTGCTTTGATTTGCTTTTCCTGCATGGCAAAGGGTTGGACTGGATGGCCCTGTGATCTCTTCCCATTCTTATCATTCTAGGGTTTTGTTTTGTTTTTATTTTTTCATTAGTAGCAACTTGAGAAACTGCAAGCCGCTTCTGGTGTGAGAGAATTGGCCATCTGCAAGAATATTTTACCATTCTGTGCGAGGCTTCTCTCATGTCCCTGCATGAGAAGCTGGAACTGACAAATGGGAGCTCACCCTGCTCCCCATATTCAGACCACCGACCTTTTGGTCAGTACTCCTGCCGGCACAAAGCTTTAGCCCATTGCGTCACCAGGGGCTGCGATAATTCTAGGTCAGACCATTGACAACTCTAGACCATTGACTACATTTACTAGTAGTGCATTCCTGTAATTTCAGTCAGAATTCTTCTCTAGCTGTGCCCAGAGATGCCAGGCTTTGATCCTACAGCCTTCTGCATGGGAACATGAGCTCAAGCACTGAGCTATGGACCTTCCCCTTCAGAGAATTTGCAGAATGCTAGATACCATTATCTTCTTTCTTAGCCCTCTGAATGCTGGCCTGAAATTTCATTGAATCTTGTACCTTTTTTTCTCAGTGGGTGGGAGGCTTTTACATCTGGTGCTTTAAGGTATTAGAATCATAAAATCATAGAGCTGGAAGACCTTGTGGGCCATCCAGTCCAACCCCCTGCCAAGAAGCAGGAAAATCACATTCAAAACACCCCTGACAGATGGCCATCCAGTCTCTGTTTAAAAGCTTCCGAAGAAGGAGCCTCCACCACACTCTGGGGCAGAGAGTTCCACTGCTGAATAGTTCTCACAGTCAGGAAGTTCTTCCTAATGTATTATCTTGTTGAATTTATGCTGTGGCCACTGCATTGTGGTACAGTTGGGGTTTTTTTTTGGGGGGGGGGTAAGATTAGGGAGGGGAAGGATGTTTGTGCTGGCTTGGGGGCTGTTGCCCACTGTTTAACTTGGGACTGCCCTCTTGAGGATTTCGGGACAAGCCATTGACCCAGCTTCTATTTTGCAGTTAATCCAATCAGGAGAGCCATTCAGCCATCTATCCCATTCCCAACTGACTCCATGCAGCTTTGTGAGATGGGCTGCACAAAACATTTTAAGCTCCCACTGTGAAAAGTCGACCATGGCTTAATCCAACAGTCCTTATCAGGAAGCATTATTTTGTTGTCATGTAGGCTATCCCTGTTGTTTAGCCAGACTGCGTGCCACGGAGCTACTACTTATACAGCAGTGGGTTTTGGAGGAATGCTGGAGGCAGAGGGATGCCACTTACACATTTATCCCAGAGGAGAGATTTTTGGCAAAGGAAATGCATTTAATAAGTCCCCGTGTCTGGAAATAGAGAATAAATTTACTGTGGGTGTATCCTGCTAAGTTCCTGCTAAGATCCCCAGACAATATTGTCATCCAGTTGTAATATTCTTATGTTTTCCTGAGGCTTGGTCCATCATTTTTCTTATGACAAAGTTCTGCAAAAGGAAAGAAAAAATGGAATAGCTGCACAAAATTATCCCTCTGAGGAGAGCTCTGCATGTCTTTTAAGTTATCTTCCTCCATGTGCTTTTAGGCCCACTAATGTATATGTCTATTTTTACTGTGTATATATATGTGTGTGTGTGTGCATAGCATTAAATTGCTGCCTTTTTAAAAGGCTGCTCTGAGTCCCCCTTTTGGGATGAGAAGGGTGGGATATAAATGTAGTAAATAAAGAGTAAATAAAAAATAATTTCATACTGTGGGAATAACTCAGTGGAATCCACAGTTGTGCTTCCTCCAGAATTGCAGAATTCTTCATCTCCTATTCTTTAGCCTGTGTGTGATTTTTAAAGAGTCCAGTTGGACTTTGAAAGGAAGCAAGCATCTTGTTTATTTCTAGCAGAGCAAGAAGAAAGGCAGATGGTAAGGCTTCTCTTGTTGCCCATGTTCCCACAGGATGCCATTGAGGACAAGCTAGACAAGAAAATGTGGCCCTATGTGTCTTGCCCAGCTCCGGGTCCTTCCTCACAAGCTGCTGTGAGGTGAGTAAAGGAGATAATAGTCCCCCAACTTCCTTGCCATTCTCTGTTCCGCAGCCCCCTCCCTCCCCAAACACACACACATATGCAGTCCAGGGCTTCCTGTTGTTTGCCTCAATGTGTTACTTTGTGGTGAGGATCAGATATGTTCAGAATAGAGGGGTCTATATAACAGCAGTATTTTCAAATGTACAGGCAACATGAAACCAAGATTTGCTTCTTTTTATACACCTTTGCAGAATATACATCAGAGCTGATTGCTCAGGGCCCTGAGAAAGGAGGAATGATGGTTCCCAGATAGGTTTTTTGGAGGAGCATGGAAGACCCAGAGAAATAGATAAAATCCCTACATATGAGTTTGCCCACCAGGATTGGAGGACAGTTGCAAAATGGGCTCCATCATGTCAAAATGTTATTGTATGTGCCTTTACAATGCCCAGATATGACAGAAGACCGTAGTGCAGTTGAGCTGAAACCTAAAAGTATGAAGGCTCTCTTTTTTCCAGGTTAATTTAGTGTGCATGTTTTGTATTTCCCTGCTTTTATTATTAGTATTTTATTAGTATTTTATTCTCCAGCTGTCCCTGGAGAAGTGTCCTTCCGCCCTCACCCTACCTGCCTAACCCCAGCCTTGAGCAACTGTTGCTTTTTCCAAGGCGGGAGACTCTGCAGGAGCCAGTCCTGTCCCTTTTTTAGAATGCTTGCCCTTAGCAGTCTCCTTGTAGCTGATGATCCCATGTCCTTTCCTCCAGCAGTGCCCGCTTTGGTCATTGGCACAAGACCAAGACAGCAACGGAGTACCGAACTGGCCCCCGCCTCATCCTGTATGTGCTGGGTGGAGTTACCATGTCAGAGATGCGCTGTGCCTATGAAGTCACAGAGGCCACTGATGGGAAGTGGGAAGTGCTGATCGGTAAGTGTGCTGTTGTAAGTCAAAGCTCAGCTTGAGAAGTAAAAATCACCTGTGCCAGTCAGTGATTCAGGAGATAATAACAGTGATAATAAACATTGTTTTTAGACCACCCTATCTCTCCTAAGGGAACTCAGGGCGGTTTACACATTCAGTGGCAAATATTCAGTGTCTGGCATATACCAAAACATTACAACAATAAACATAATACGGAATGATAACAGCATTGTACTAATCATATGAAATTAAATATCAAATTAAAACATAGAACAACTAATCACTAAACAAGTAGGTTTAAAAGCATAGTCAACAATAAAATATCTAACATAGTCAGCACAATTAAAAATTGGGTAAACATTTAATTTAAATGATTTTAATGTTTAAATGTTTATGTATGTGTATAATCTATTTATGTCCCGGCATTGAATGTTTGCTGTTTGAATGTTGTGCTCTGCCCTGAGTCCCCTTCAGGCAAAATATAAATGTTTTAAATAAATAACTAAATAAAGCAAATTTGGCTGTTAGTTGTTCTTAAGTGTACCATAGTTGCCACGAAGTACAGACAGGACAGCCTGTTTTCAATGGCATTACTATTCCTCCTCCTCCTCCTCCCAAGTGCAAAGTTGTGTTTTTAGTAGCTTTTTGAAAAAGAGGAGGGTGGGGCTGTTTTTATTTCTTTTGGAAGGGAGTTCCAGAGGCAGGGAGCGATCATGGAGGAGGCCCCCCTCTCTCGTCCTTACCAGACGTGCTTGAGATGTTCCTCAAGGGGGAAACTATTACACTTAATCTGAGTCCAGTGATATTTCAGGGGGCTCCAAATGCTCGTAATCCCAAGTACCATCAGACACACACAGCTCGGGGGATTGTGAGTGCTGTAGTCTAAAACGCCTGGAGAACTTAATATTCCATGGTGCCTCATGCCACTGTTTCTTCTTTCCTTCTTCATAGGTTCCTCTCATGTCTTGACCCCCAAGCAGTTCCTGGAGGATGTGCGCCATCTGACAGAGCAAGCTCCACTGAAGTCCTAAGCCCATCGGTGGCTCTCTAAAGAGACTTGCTGACAGAAGTTCTATTTATCTGCCCAGATGAAGTTTTTCTCAATGACATGTTTTCTCTCACATGCCAATGTTTTGCTTCTGTCCTTCTAAGACTGGCCCTCAGCCTGACCCTTCTTTCAGTTTGGAATGAACCTGACACTGTGGAAACCATATGCAAGTCAAAGAGGAGGGCCCAGTCTTTTCTTAGGAGTCTTTTATTTCTCACGGTGGTGAGGTATCTGGTTGCACTTTATTTTTCTCTTTCCCTATTTCCCCCAACCCCTGCTCCAAAAATGAGGAAGAAGAGAGCAGCAGTTGTATGTCTAATGGAGATAAATTTATCTCTCTACCACTGTAATTATTTGCTTTCTCAAGTTTAAGAGGGATCAGGGGGAGCTTTCCAGGAACTTGGTCCATTTTCCACCTAAATGTAACCTTTGGAGTTGGCCTCCAGCAATGTTTGGTTCCGAACCCTAGAAGATTATTTGTGGTATGGTTTTGACAAAGTGTTAGAAGGGGCCATTCACCCCCAGCAGGGGAAAAGCCGAAATAATCAAAGCAGTCGCTATCCCCAAATGCCCAGTTTTGTGAGCTTCAAAGCTGTACTGACAACTGGGATGAAACAAGAATGGTTTGCTTCTTTCAAAAGAAACAGGAAGATGTATATACTACAGCTGGTGTGTTGCAAGATGTATATAACTCTGCAAAAAAATCCCATGGTCTTAAAAATAAAAGTGAAAATAAAAGTGTCTGTCTGCATAATCTGTTCTCTTCAACCAGATTCAAACTGTGATATTGGGACAGCAGTACAACTCCAGAACAGTACTGAAGGGAATTTATTTCCTCTAACTCTGGGAGGAATTAGAATTACAGGGACAAGAAACTCCTGTTCAATACAGTTCATTCATTTTTCTTGTATGTCACATAAGTCAGTGTATACCTCACTATGGATTAGAGCAAAAGTGGATGAAATGCTGGCCCTCCAGATCTCATTGGATTATAGCAGTCCTGGCCAGCATAGCCAATTGTGAGGAATGCTGGCAGAAGTAGTCCAGAAAGACCCGGAAGGCTGTAGTTTGCCACTGCAATGTGCAGAGCTCACACATTTCATTAAGAAATAAGTTATATTGAATTCTAGATACCTGTAAAATTGCAGTCTTCCATCACAATAGTCATCATAGTATCCATCCCAAAACAGCTAGTGTAAGGAATGCTTTGAGGCATCAATGAATCAGAGTGGGAAGAGAACACAACTCCCTGCCATGCAGGAAAAGCACAATCATAGCACCCCTGACAGATGGCCATCCAGCCTCTGTTTAAAAGCCTCCAAGGAAGGAGCTGCCACCACACTCCAAGGCAGAGAGTTCCACTGCTGAATGGCTCTAATGGTCAGAAAGTTCTTAATGTTCAGGTGGAATCTCCTTTCCTGTAATTTTAACCCACTGGTCCAAGTCCTAGTTTCCAGGGTAGCAGAAAACAATTAATTACAAAAGTTATTCCTAACCCAACCTGTTTCCCACGTAGAAAGTGTAAAATTCAGTATGTCCCAAGTGCATATAAGGCCATTGGAGAGCAGTATAATGGTTGAACATTTTCCCAAAATGATTTTCCCATGATTTTCCCATTTCCCGCAAATTATTGGGAAGTGTGTTACTTTTATTTAAAAATATCTCTGTGTTGCAGATTTATGCTGTATCTGCCTCTGTTCAGAATATTTCACTTCACTTTCTCTCCCTATGATAATTGGATTTTGAAAACAATGGCTTGTTTTGGAAACAAGCTTTGGTGAGAATGCTTCAGTGGAGACCCCTTTCCCCCATGATAATTCTTTCAGGAGTGAATTTCCTTTCCAAGCAATAGATTTCTTTCCTTTCCTGTTGTCTTAGCCCTGTTCTTAACTATGAGTAATTTGTAAGTCGGATGTTTGTAACTCAGCTACTTCCTGTACAATTTGTGTGTGTGTGTCAGGAATGACTTGAGAAACTGCAAGTCGCTACTGGTGTGAGAAAATTGTGGGAGGCTTCTCTCATGTCCCCACATGAGAAGCTGGAGCTGACACATGGGATCTCACCTTGCTTCCCGGATTAGAACCACTGACCTTTTGGTCAGCATGCAGAACTGTTTTTCCTGTATCCCACAAATCAGTTTACACTAGCATTATACTGTTTTATATGGAGGAATTGTGTTTACTTCATTATAGCATGAGGCCATCCTGAGTAAGGTGGGAAATGTGGGAGCAAATTTTTTTATGTTTACTGCATGGGGTAAAGGGACAAAAGTTGCATTTGTTGTTCACACTCAGATATTAAGTGTAAAATGTTCCATAATTGTATACTATGCTTCCAACCGCAACAATAACCTCTTATTGGCTGTAATATCCAATAGCTGGTTTTTGCTCCAGCTTAGTATGTGAAGTGCTTTTCTTTTTCAGGCCTGTGGGGCTCTCGATTTTGGGGACAGGCTTCATATACATGAGCTACCTATTTCTCTTCCAGATGCTATTTACCTCGTGTGTGACAAAAAGAGGCAGAGGCTTCAGTAAGCCTGGGACAGCATGTTTACATGATGTCCTGCTGCTGCATTTCTACCTTGGACACCCCCAGCCCAATCTGTTTTGCGTGGAGCTTTTAGCCCTGATCCCTCCTTGGGAATTATCATCTGCAATTAATATCCATTTGGATAATTGCTCTCCAGCAGCTGCCATGTGGGTGGGCCATGGTTAGGGGTGATGAATTAGTGCTGCTATTTGCTTGAGAGTTGCTACTGCTTAGATGATGCAGAGGAGGGGACTACAAGAAGCTCAGGAAAAAACTTGCAACTCAAGTGCTTGTTTTCTGAAGTGTTCAAGAGCAGGATCCAAGCAAACACTCTGCTGTCCTACCCCATGTTGCCAGTTGAGCTGCAGGGTTTCTGCCTCAAGAACTGCATAAGCTCTTTCTATGCGGGCCATTACAGTCCTTTCCTACAGCAATTTTTCCAATCAAAAACTGGCCTATGATGATTTGACTATGGAATTTACCATGGACTCCTAAGCTGAATTAGTCCTGCTTCCATATCATGCTTGTAGTACCTTGCATACATTAATCCAAGCAATTGGTACAGCAAGATTGTTGGGCAAACTATGCTTTGTTATTATTTTCTGCATTAGCTATACATTTTACACAGCTCAGGAGGAAGGACGTTTCAGCATCAAAGCCACTACTTTATTTTATTTGCTGCAGTTGTATATACCTTTCTCCCAGGATAGGACCCTAGCAGTAAGGAAGTGGTGATCCCATCTACCTAATTTCACTAGTACTGATTACTTGTAATTTCTCCTTATTGTACTCGGTGCTTCTTCCTGTCACTCAGCATTTATCTCCAATTAAAACAGAAAACATCCGGCTATATAATCTCTGCTCATGTTGTGGTGTGGGGCTTTTTTTGTTTGTTTGTTTTGATTTGTTTTTTTGGTAGGAATCGTCATCACCTCCCACATCCCAAGTGACCCATTCCCTCCAAAGGTGGTGATGGCAAGGTGGCCACTTGCCATTTTTACAGTTATACAACTGGATGCTAATTCTATTTAAAACCTTACAGGCAACTATTACCCAAAGCTGTTTAGATACTGATTTTAGAACTGTTCAGTTGCTTAAATTTAAACCTCATTTCCTAATTACTGGACAGGCTCCAGTAACACCTCCTGGACTCATCTGCTCTGTGCCAGCTCTGGGCAAACAGGGATGGTATTATGTGATCTTTGTATCAACTTTTCTGAATCCCTAAAAAGGATGCCTCTTTCAGCCATAGCCTGCCTCTAAATACATCTAAGGAGTTTGTCTAGTTTGTGAGACAACCAGGTACTTTAAATCCTTCTCATAGTGCCAGGAGTCAGGGTTGTAGTTATGCTGCCCCTTTCCTACGTTAATTTCAAGGCTTCTTTAAGAAAAAAAATGGCCACGAAGAAAGCATTAGGAAGCACACCTATTCTTGGAAAGGGCACTCTTTCTGTTTATATATTGGTTTGCAAAGCACTTTACAATTTACTGCCAAGTGCCAACTGCGCTCATAATAATTTTACAAAGCAGGGTTTGAGAAGGGTCCGCCTGCCCTTGATGCTACTAGACTGCAACATCATGCCTATATTGACTACTGATTAAGGGAGTTGAAGTCCAACCACATCTGTGGTAGGATAAATTAAACATTATTATAAATGTATAGGTAAAAACCTGGGAGGTATTTTTTCTTTATTTTCAATGCCTGCATTAAAAAAGCCAAGGAAGAAAAGAGAAAGTTACAGGATACTCACATTTAAAACCAGCTTTCTGTCTCGACCAACTCTTTTTCCAATTTTAGCTCCACCACCTCAGGGATGTCAGGCACCATAGAAACTTACTTTACAGAGGAAGGCTGAATACAGTAAATGCTGATGCTAACAAGACCCCAGGGACCACAAAACCCCATAGACTTCTGGTTCGATGCTCTGAAATACAGGAAAACACACAATCGTACTGGAAGCAAAAGAAAGCAGAAGGGTCCTTCTTCCAGAGACAGTGGTTGTGAACAGCATCTCAGGTAAGGAAGCAGAACTTGCTGACCAGAGACGTTCTAGGACTTCCTTTAAGAAGAACAGCTGTGGTGTGGCCTTTAGCCACTCATAGCAAAAATGTTTGCCCTTTTGAATGAAATGACTGTAGATCCATGGTAGAAACTCTATGTGGAATGTCCTTGATTCACTCTCAGGGCAGATAAATGATGGGGAAAGATTGTTTTCTTTCTAAAACTCTAGAGCACATGTGACAAACTCAGGGCCCACAGGTCGAATCCAGCCCTCCATGTCATTTTATGTGGCCTTCCAGATGCTGGACTATAACTCCTGTATTCCTCTTTTCCTCATCACTAAACATTTGTGACCAGAGCTGATGGGAATTGTGATACAGTAACATCCGAATGGCTGCAATTTATTCTGTTCATTCAGGATAGTGTGGTTTGGATATTTGGATACAAGGCTCGTAGATATGATATCTGACTTTAAAATGTCCTTTTATCTTTTCTCAACCTCCAAGCCACAAAAGCTGTTGGGTGATAATTCCCATTATCCCCCTACCACATGGTGGATAATCAAAAGTGATGGGAGCTGTCATTCAATAACAACCAGGGACTCAAACCGGGTTAAAAAAACAACTATGGTGAAAAAATGATAATAATCTGTGGATTCTCCATCCATAGATTCAATGGCTCTTGGAAAGCAACCATAACACTGATGTGGACCTCAGTGAAAATGAGTTTGACACTCTTGCCCAGAATAAACAATTCAGAACTAGATGAACAAAAAAATGGAGGAAGCAAAGCCACTTCCTAAAGAGGGATAATTTTCTGGATGAAATACTATGCAATACCTACAAGTTTGCTTCTTTCATACAATCACTTAATACTCCATACTCAAAGCCCTCCAGATATTGAATTGCAACTCCCAATGAGATCCAGCCAGTGAGGGATAATTGGATTTCAGACAAACACATCTCTAAGATCACACATTATTGTTTATTATCCTTTATTAGTTGCTTGCTACAATTTTTCATTGTTTTTGATTGCACTGATTAGCTAAGACTTCATCAGGTGGGCAAATTCGCTCATCCTAGGATGCTTGGACTTCATTTGAGGCACAGAGCCCACCAGTTCCCATCACATGACATAGATCAACTTCTGGCAGAGCTCTGTGCCTCAACTGAAGCCCAAGCATCGCAGGAGGCAGTAGCAGCAACAC